AGGGAGGGAGGGAGGGAGGGAGGGAGGGAGGGAGGGAGGAAGGAAGGAAGGAAGGAAGGAAGGAAGGAAGGAAGGAAGGAAGGATCATGAAATATGAATTTGGTCAGCAGTCAGGGCAAGCCTTTTTTCATTCTCTGGCCATATATAGGAATTTGCAGATTTAGAAATATATCTTATTTTCGGATCATGATGGAAGCACAAACCATTTGAATGTATATCAAGCAATCCTGACAATTTGGTGCACCTTGGAATATGGATACATTGAAGAATCTTGGTCCTGTGGTCCTAAGAGGGGTACAGATTTACTGGATTTTTGTTCTTAGAGAACAGGAGTTATCTTCATAAAATTTTCTTTCTTTTTTTTTTTAACCTCAGAATGCCATTTATTAAAAAGCACCTCTTGGTAATAAAAGCAAAACAAACCAATAAACAACAACAACGAAAATCCAATAATATCTATTTCATTCTCACATCATCCTGCTAAATTCGTGATGAGATTTTAAACAGGCAGCCTGCTGGGCTATAGTCAGAACTCAGAACTCAAACGCAGGTGTGCTGACTCTGAAGCAAGAGCTGGAGCAGAGCAAAAACATCAAAAAGCTATGCAAATCTGGAATTTATCACAGCTTTCTTCCTTAGGCCAAAAAAGAAAAACAAAACAACAACAAAAAAGCAAATTCATTTTATAACCACAATTCAATTTGTCAAACTCCTATGAAGACTTTTCATTTAATTAGGTATATATATGAAGAAAGTTCTTCCACAAACACTCTCAAGCTTACAATTATCAAGAAAATGTCAGAATTTGTAAAAGCAGGGGGAATATTAAACACATGTTAGGAAGGTCAACTTCTGTTTCTGCTTTTAAGTAAAAAAATCACCATATAGTAAGTACAAAAACTTGCACTGAATGACAACTGCTGGTGTGTTTACTTCATCAGAAATGAAGACCAAGAGTGAAGAAAGCCCTGTGTAATACCCATCTAGAGCACTCCCTCTGTGCACACAAGCGAGTCGGCAGCTTCTGGAGTATAGCTTATGAACGGGCAGACCTTGGATTGGATAGTTGTCATAAAATTTTCATTTCTCCCTGGAACATACTCTTATAGGGCCAGGTTCTCCCTCCTGAAACACCCAAAAAGGTGACAACTATGTAATATTGAAGTGACAGTAGTCACCCCCTCCGGTCCTATGTGATAGCTGGGAATTCTGTTCTGCACCATGTACATGCCTTGTGTCCAAAGACAGCATCAGATATTTTGGAACAGGACTTACAGATGGTTGTGAGCCACTAAGTGGCTTCTGGGAATCAAGTTCATTCTCTGCAAGAGCAGCGAGTGTTCTAACTATGGAGTCATCTCTCTGATCTTCAGCAGAAACCATTACTTCTCAAGAGGAAGCACTGCTGCCAAACAGAACCAGTAAGACTGAGCTTACTTAAATAACTAATTTTCTTTTAACATGAAATTATCATCCTAAAATATTTTAAACATGCTTTTAAAAATACTGAAACTTATGAAACCCACAAGTGACCTCTATAAGCCAAAAGCAGAAGCATATGATCAGATTTATGGTGTTTCTTTCTCCTTCATAAACTTTATTCCATTGCATCCTATATTCATGGTGGTTTTCCTTTCAATTAGTTCTTGATTTACTCTAAGCACTAAACCCACTTTACTAGCTGACCACCATCCAACATCATTCCCATCCATCCATAACTTCAGTCATGCTTTTTATGCAAAGGATGTGACTGTTCAGAGCTGATCCCAAATAGGAAAGACAATCGTACAGCCTGTGTGTACTTCCTTAATACAAATCAGGATCTAGTGAGTCATCAATGTAAGTACATTTAATGTTAGCATTTATTTAGAACTCTCCAAAAAAAATGTGTGTTATACTTTAAATCTTGCTGCATAATTTTTTTTTAATGTATGAGTTGTTCTGTCTGTAAGTACACCTACATGCCAGAAGAGGGCATCACATCCCTTTATAGATGGTTGTGAGCCACCATGTGGTTTCTGGGAATTGAACTCAAGAGCTCTAGAAGAGCAGCCAGTACTCTTAACTGCTGAGCCAGCTAGCCAGCCTCCATTGTATAATTTCTTTTCCTACTTTTTAATTACTTTTGTTGAGAGTGTCATTCATGAGTATAATTCATACCAATTACTCTCACATTCCCTTTCTCTTATCTGCCTCCCACACATTAGTAACCTTTGTCTATAAATATGACTTTTGGTTTCATTTATGATCTACTGAGTTTAACCAGAGCCATCTGTGTGGTCCTGGACTTAGGACCTCCATTTGAGCCTGCTATATTTACTACTGGGTACACAACTGAAGACAAGGACTCCTCCTCTCTCAGAACCTGTCAATGGTTTAGCAGCCAGTCCCTTGCAGCCCCTGTACCAAGAAGCCGTGAGTTCATCGCTGCAGTGAATGTGCGCAGCTAGAAAATGGCACTTCGTAAATCTGCATTCCTATTTTTCCATCAAAAGTTTCTCCATCTTTTTCTGTCTTTATGAACTACAGTTTAGCCATAGGCCTTAAAGTTAATATTATCAACATTTTCATGAGATATAATTCTTCTCACTATATTATTACAGAATTAACCTCAGTGACAACCTCAGTGGAGACATAATGGCACATGTTCAAAACAAAGCCAAAACCTTATGCTAGAAGAATAAAACTGACATTGTAAAAATATACTAAATTGTATAAAGTAAAAATACTAGCTCAAAATCAACAATTAATTAGAACAAAATAATGTGCTCACTTATAAGGAACACGATTTTTGCAGTAGATGTGAGTGGCTGCTAAGAGACGGGAGAATAAGAAGGAAGTAATCACTGAGTAGCAAGTAACCTGATTTGCCAGGAAGAAAAAAATTACACATCCAAATTCTATTATCCAACTTAGAGTCTCAACTAAATCTAAAAATCTAGAAAATTGTGCTTATCAGAAACTAACTAAATGTCTTATCATTTTTCAGATAAGAAAACTGAAGCCAAACAGTGACTGCTGATTGCAATTAGACAAAGCAATGCATCTTCAGGACAACACGTCTTCTATTTATTGCCAAGTACTCTTTCAGCCAAACATTACAACATACCAGATGAGAAACTATTTCTGTGTTTTCTAAGCCGAAATATACTCCACAACACTGAGAACAACCTATATAGTGTCTTAGGCATGCTACTGGATTACACCGTAAATCCAAAGTGCTCAAAATCCATACATTTTCTACTTTAAAACACAAAACGTATGCATGTAAGATAATTTTACCACTGAAAATACTACCAAGAAATCAGTCATCTTCCGTATAGTCAGGCACTCTGCTTTAAAAAATGACCATTCTGGTTTTATCATATTGCTGAGACAGTAGGATGGCAATTTTCATGCTTCTGTTTTGAAGGGATGTCATGGGGCATCTTCTATAGAACACAACTGAAACATGAAATTCAGTTTTTTGGGGTGTTTGTTTGTTTGTTTGTTTTTAAGATTGATTCTATTCATTACAGAGGCACCAGCATGTACAGCAGGATGCAAAGCTCTGGCTGTATCTTGTTCAGCTCTGCCAACCCAGAACTGCTCTATTCAAGTTGAAGTAGTATAAAATGTGTGCTATATTTCAACAGTACAGAGAAAATGACCCAAAAAGCTCAAAAGAAAGTGAAAAAAGTATGGAACACACCAGATACAGAGACAGTAGGCTACTTTTTGTATAAGAAAAAAACAAGCCACATTCTTCTAGACAGGTGTGGTAGCACACATTTGTAATTCCAGCACTGAGGAAACAGAAGCAGGGATCACTGCCAATTCCAGGCAACAGACTATTACTTGTTATTAAAAAGACAAAAAAGAAGACTGGAGAAGGCTCAATAGTTAAGAGTGTTTGCTACTCTTTCAGGGGTCCCAAATTTGGTTGCCAGCACCCACAAGGCAGCTCACAACTACTACTTAGCTCCAGGGTATTTCATGCCTTCTTCTAGCTTCTTCAGGAACTACTCACACATGTGGTATATATACATACATTCATCCAAATTCACAGATAAAATAAATATAATTTTTTAAGTTTTTTAAGAAAAAATGTTTTGATATACATCCATCTGATGAATTTCCAGAAAATAATGCTGAATAAAAAAGGATAAAAGGCTATACATTGTATAATTTCAATTATAAAACATTCTGGTGATGACAAAATTCTAGAAATGGAGAACGTGGACTCTCTCGGTGTTCCTACAATTACAAGTGAAACATCAACTATCCCAAAATAAGAATTTCAAACACAATCAGGTGTCAATGGTTTCATTGTTGTCACACATCATACAGTGCATCTATAATCAAGAGGGTTACAACATAACCAGACAATACAATCTGAGGTAACTACCCTCAACTATGTGCCCCATGACTTATATGAGTATTATTAACTGGCATATAAACTGAAACTGTAAAACACTTAACCAAAAACATATTTTAGTGGCAAACTTGTATTATACGAGCAGCAGAAGAGCAACAGGAACAAATACAGTGCCTAACCAGCCACAGAGGAAGTGTTGGTGAAAACAGAGATCAAAATAATGCCATCAGTGCACTTCTAAAAAGCTTACCCGATGCTTCGCCTTAATTTTCTTCCTATATTCTTCTTTGTCAAATTTATCCTCTTCCTGAAGCCTTTCCTTTGCTTTGTCTAGGTTGATACCACCAGTGTCATCTTCTTCCTCCTCATCTCTTGTAGCACATTTCTGAATCTGTGGCCACTGCTGAACCAACTAAAGATGGGAAAGGACAAAGGGTAAGATGAAGGGAATGTCTTCAGAAGCAGTTTGCTTTTGTGGACTCATTTCAAGTAAGGCATATACCCACCTTCTACATTACAATGAGTTAATTCTCATAAACTTCATAATTAAGGATGTCATAGAAAAGACCCTCACAGCCAAAGTAATGCCATTATACTGTGAAACCATAGTTAAAGATGACTTCACAAAATTATTTAGTCAAGGTGATTACATAATAAAAATACTTCCCAAAACTGGTGTTAATATTCTGTTCTCCATTAAACTAAGCTCAAAATCATCTGGGTAGAGCAGACCCCTAGGTGACAAAGTAGCTCCTTTTAGCTACACTCAGGCACCATGTATATGCTAGAAAACAGCTCATCAAAATGTGCTGTTTTCCATTCTTGCTTTAGCAGATCTAATAACTTATGGTTATCTATCTATATCACTCATTCATCTTCAGAGGCCATAACTGTATGCAATAATTAAAACTAGTCACATGCCAGCTAGTATTACACAGAATAAAATAACTATAAAGGAGAAAGTTGGCTTGGGTTTCATGGACTGCTCCTGATATGTTCCAGAGGATAATTTATGGAGAGGAACAAAGTGACAAGCAGATGAATCCAACAGGATCTGGCTGAGTGTGCTGGCTATTTCACTAGTTTAGTGTGTCATTCTAAATAAATGTATTATTCTCTTGGACACCTGTGTCCCTTGCAGATATAAGAGGCAGCTCAGTAACTTTTGCTGTCTCACACTATAAAAGTATAAGCTCTGAACAATTTAGACAAAAATAGTCCCCATGCTTTAACTTAATAACTGGTCTCCAAAGGATTTAAAATCTGTATCTCTGACTTGAAAGTATGCTAACCAATCTTCTTGCAAACAGAAATCTTCAGATAAACACCTCATGGGTACTCATACATCTTGCTATCCAAGACTTTCTCCATGATGAGATGCACACAATCTTATTCTTTCAACAGACAATGTTGGTGGCAAAAGGAACCTCATTGATAAATTATGTCAGTAATCACTGAGCTTCACAGCTATAAAAGGGATCCATGGTGATGAACAGTTAACAGCAAATACTCAAAACTTCTCATCCCACTCGATTCACAGAGGGAAATTAATATAGCATACCTTTCTGTGGGCTAAACAAATAGCAGCCCATCTTTTGGAGGTTCAGAAGTTTCAGTATCATGCTCAGCCACAAACAGCACCTCTTAGCAATAAGCACACATTGCAATATTATACAGTTAGGAGATTTATAATTATCCTGGATCTAATTACTGTAATCTGTGCAGCTGAACTCTGTAGCACACTAAGCTCATTAGGGTAAGAGCACTCATTTTACAAGGCACTAGATAGGACTGCATTCTCTTCTAGCTCACTTCTTGGGTGCTCATTTCTCTATAGCAGTTTTATATCAATTAACTTTTTCATTTATATTGGCTTCATCTTCCACTTCTAGCAACTCAGAAATACCTTATATTTTGTAATTTTTCAGCTCCTTCCTATACCCCCAATAACACCAAGTTCTTCAACTTCAAAATGAAAAGGAAGCATACCTCTTTGGAGACAGCAAATATCAACAACACAGCCATGATGGTGAAATGTGTGGTATGATTTTTTTAAATCAATATGAAAACTCATATTTTACTGGAGTAACAGAATACTCATCCAAAACATAATTTGGAAGGTTTAATACATGTTAGGTACTATGCACCATGCTAGGAATCCGATAGTGAACAAAATACCTTTCTTTGTGGAAAAATGCCAAAGAAGCTATAATCACCAAATAAGAATGTGAGCTTATCAGCTAACCACTGAACTTATCAAGGGGTTCCCAATGGAGGAGTGAGAGAGAAGACTGAAGGAGCTGAAAGGGTTTGCAGCCCCATGTGGAGAGCAACACTACCAACCAACCAGAGCTCTCAGGGTCTAAACCACAAGCCTGGGAGCACATACGGAGGGACCCATGGGTCCAGCTGTATATGTAGGGGAGGATGGCCTTGTTGGGCATAGGTGAGAGAGGAGGTCCTCAGTCCAATGAAGGCTGGATGCCCCAGTGTGGAGGAAATCGTGAGTGGGAAGGTGGGAGTAGGAAGGTGGGTGGGGCACATCCTCGTAGAAGGAGGGGGGATGGGATGGGGGTTCCTGGGTAGACAGGAAATGGGGAAAGGGGATCACAACTGAAATATAAATAAAATATCCAATAAAAATAAATAAATAAATAAATAAATAAATAAATAAATAAAATGTGAGCTTATATAACAATCTGCATAAAAATGAATGGATAAGAAAGGATGGAAGTAATGAGATTACAATAGTAGCGTGTGATATATCAAGATGGTCAGGGAACTTGGAGGCTGGTGAGAATGAGGTCATGAGATAAAAATTCTAAAGACCTTGTTCTACCAAGGAATTCGTTTTCATTCGTTGGGTAATTTATTTGATGTCCTAGCTTTTCTTGGTCATTTGAAAACAAAACAGTAACTATTAAAATAATGACTTCTGAGAAATAAAGTATGTATTTACAATCAAGCTCTGATAAAGGCAAAATGAAAGGGAAGCACCTAAGTCTGAAATTACCTAAAGGCAGAGAACATGAGCCAGCTGAACGATGACTATGCAAACATAGCATATATAACTGAGGAAGTGCAAACCGGGCAGCTTACAGAGTCACGCTAAAGAAGCTCTGGTAAGTAGCTGTGTTAGTATTCTTGTGCTTGTTCCCAGGGAACACGCTGATGAATATTGATGAGAAAATCTTTTCTATAAAGAATGGAATTTAACATCATTTCACTGCAGGTATCACCAAGAAGGACTTCAGTTTATTGCATAAGAAATCCTTGTCCACATCCACACAGCTGACGAAAAGCTTACAGGAACAGAAACAGGAAGCAGTGTGCTCTAGGAACACAAACACACACACACACACACACACACACACACACACGGCCAGGCAGCATAAAAGCCAATCTTCATAATCCCTGGGATATAGCTCAGAAATAATGTATTTACAGAATCTTACCTCCCCTTCATCAGTAAATGTTATTTTCTTGTTCACTTTAAAATTTCTCTTCATTACTTTTTTTGCTTCAGCAACTTTGGTTAATTTTTTCTTGACACTGGATTTAGAAGGTTCTTTTTTCTGTGTAAAGAAAAAAAAGAATTAGAAAAATGACTGCAATAAAAAAAAAAAAGAAATTCCAAAAGTGACTATACTTTCTATTCTCACTGGTAATTACAAGCACCTAAAACACTGCCCAGAAACTGAGTTATGCGGCATTTTAACTAATAGCTACCTCAAGGCTAAAGGGGCTTTAAATGTGAATATGATAGGCATTAGGCAAAATCTTTCATTTTGTTCTATTGCTAAAATTGTACTATTTAAAATGCTGCTACACCAGAGACAGAGATAAAGCAATAAACAGTCATAAGGCAAATCTGTTTCCCAGGTAAAACAAACATTATTACATTACCAAGTGCAAACTTAAATCTAGACTAGGAAAATGTAAACATAGAGCAAAATGACTAAAACAGTGTTTGCAACTCAACATTCTTCAGTCAGCTATAGAAATTTACTATATAAATGCTGGAAAGTTCCTATGACAATTAAATTAAGTCCAAAGACAAGATGAATTAACAGTATTTAATTGAGTACATTCACTGGAATAAAACTAATGCTCTGAGATCACTATAGCTTAATACTAAAAATTCAAAGCTACTGCTTACTCATCCTAAATGAACAATTGAGTGAGCTACTGAGGAAAGAAACAAGGAAGATCATGGCATGGCTTCTACAATGAGTGCCAGGGAATAACTCATTTTTGAATGTTGGATAATTCCCACTAGTTATTGGCGGTACTTTACTAAACTAATGTACCTTCTATTACATGAATGAAAAGGAATAAGAAGTAGGTTTCGGTATAGGACCGGAGAGATTGCTCAGCAGTTAAGAATAAGTATTATTCTTCTAAGGGACCAGAGTTCAGTTCCAATACCCACGTTTGAAAGTTCACAACTGCCTCTAACTTCAGTTCTCACTACCAATGATACCAGCACATCCTTGTATATACCCACACACTGATACACAAATTCACAGTTTAAAATAATGAAAATAATTTAAAGAAGTCTTTGGAATACTAGTCAAGCAAATTTGAGGTAAGCTCTGCAATTATGAAGTGTGTGAAGACTAACTATCCTCTATAAAGGGAGGACACTAATAGCACCTAGTACCATCTAACAGACTGTGAAAAGAACAAACAATAAGTAAACTAAAACATACTGCGTGAGAGGTTCATATCCAGTGGATACAGGACAATGTCACAGCATACTAGGCTGTGGGCTTCCTAACTTTTGATTTGGTACTACAGTGAATCACTCAACAAAGGTAAAAAAGAGGAAACAAACAAGATCATCACAAGTTTTGGGAAGATGCACAACTATTACATTATGATATTAGGTATGAACAAAACATTTTATTTAAGTAGACATTGTCAATGTTGCATAAATTAAACATACTAAATTAAAAACAACCAACTTATTAAGACGGTTTATAATGTATTAAAATATTTTTAGATAATTTTTCATGTTTGCTATTATCTTGGACAGTTTTATGTCAATGTTCCATAAGCTATAATCACTTGAGAAGAGGGTCTTTCAATTGAAAAAAAAATGTCTCTATAAGATTAGCCTACAGAAAAGTCTGTGGTACGTTTTGTTGATTCATAACTGATATGGGAGGATCAAGCTCACTGTGGGTAACACCACCCCTGGGCTGGTGGTCCTGAGTGCTCTAAGAAAGCAAGATGAACAAGCAGTAAGCAAGCCATGAGCAAGCCAGTAGGCAGTGTTCCTTCCATGGCCTCAATCAATTCCAGCTTCTAGGTTCCTGCCTTGAATTCCTGCCCTGACTTCCCTGGACTACAGCATAGAAGAAGAAATAAACCCTTTCCTCCCCATATTGCTTTTGGATGTGGTGTTTATCACAGCAGAAGAAACTCTTAGCTAATATAGTTATGTAAAGCAGATAATGCATACAATGAAATTATGATTTAAGTACAAGTTGTGTTGACATTGATGTTTCTGTTATATATGTATTCTAACAACATTTTTTATAGTTCTCATTCTTGATTTGTACAATCTATAGTATTTAATTATATTGCTTTTCTGGCAAAAAGCCAGTTTATATTTAGTAAGCTACAGGCATATTTAATCCATATAAGATTTATGAGAAGATCTGTTTATCAGATAGATATTAACATTAATATACTACAACCTATCTCACAAGACTTCTATGGAAAAAGATTTTTCAAATTATTTTTTCCTTGGGACAAACAACTAATCTTCAGCCCTACCTATGGCTTTGTGGATGTTTCCAGCTGGTGGCATGCAGACTTTTACTTGCTGTGCCTATACCTCCAGATTGCCTCTAGAGAGAGTCAGAGACTGCCTCTGAGATAATATATGTGTATCTTTCTCTGTAAGTATTATCTTCCTCATTTCCTTATCTTACTTCAGAGAACAATCAGATGGAAAAACCCCTAAACTGAAAGGGACTGGAGTGGCAAGGCAAGTTCACATATCTACCTAAGGTGCTAAATGTAGAACCCTACAAGCATGGGGAATAACTAAGTCCCTCCTTCTTCAACCCATTCACAATTCCCATGCAACTTGTCCTAACAAAGCCCTGTCAGAGACCTCCCTCCTCTAACTAGCACTAGAGTTTGCAACTTCATTATTAGTAGATCTTTAGAGTTTTATAGCGAAATAAGCTTTTTTGTTTCTTCTTCTGTTTTTTTTAAAAGACAGGGTTTCTCTATGTAACATCCCTGAAACTTACTTTATAGACGAAGCTGACCTTGAACTTACAGAGATCCATCTACCTCTGCCTCCCCAGTACTGCAATCAAAGGTATACGCTGCCAATGCCCAGCTTGGTGACATAAACTCTTAAAGATTCTGGATTGGCTGATTTTCTGCCATCAAACACTGTGTAATGATAGGAGTAATCAGACAGATTAGCTGATATACTCACTGTAGTATAAACGTAAAACCATGAACTAATAAGTTAAAATCATTAGAAAGTGATATGAGCAAACTTTTCAGGGTAATGGTACTTTCTACTTCTCTGATAAAAGTTTGAGGTACACAGGAATATATTTGAACAAGCCTATCAAATGTTTATAATTCTGATTTGTCACTTCCTTGTATGATGTGAAAATTTATACATCTAAAGGTATTATCAAAAATACTGAACTCCAACTAACACCATATAATCTGAAAAAAAAAACAATAAAATATAATGATATTGGCAATGTACTCAGAAATGTGTTCAATGGTAACATGGTAAGAGATACATTGTAAATGGTTAATTATAAAATTTGGTAGTAGGGGTATTTGCATCCAATAATATAGTTGTTGCAACTTCTCTAATTATTTAAAAATATTCTTAATAAAATACAAGCATCCGGTGCCTAGGAACAGAAAGAAAATGTCAAAGCATATATGCCAAATACTAAGAACTAAGCAACTGGACTAAAAGTCAGTAAGAGAAACAGCATAGTCCAGCGACATGGGTCTAGCCCATGAACTCACTGACCTTAAAGGAAAAATTTGGAGGTATTTGTGGGTTTTCCATTGAATGGTTTCTTAGTTTTTAAACGGGATAATTCTTGTTCCAGTTTGCTCTCCTCAAAAAAAAAAAAAGTTTCCTTTATGAAACAAAATATATTTTTAAAACATCACTGAAAAAAAGAATAGTTTTCAGGAAACTGGCTGGGAAGAGGCTTATATTATCCTGAATAGCTACTGACTTGCCTCTAAACTTCCTCACTCACTCCAAAATGTACAATGTACAACTGACTATACGAGACAAGACATATGTGTTAGTTAGCTTTCTGGGAAACTTGTTTCTATCAAACAAGTGAGATAATCAACTTATATAGAGAAAAGGTATATTTGGGCTTACAGTTTTAAAAAAGGTTTTCAGTCCAAGATATTGGCCCAATGCTTTGGACAAGACAAATACCATAATAAGGGCAAGACTACTCTTTAAAATAGAAATTATAGTTTTATCAGAGCACATAGTCAGAGTCCAGTAATGCAAGGTTGGTGGTCTCTCAGGCCTCTAAGAACCTGTTCTCATAGATAATATTAAGCAGTTACTGAACACTAACTATTGTATCACAAGCACAGTAAGTGCTCGGATAAATATGCAACATGAATAACTTCCTTTTACAGAAGAAGAAGGAGAAGGAGAAGGAGGAGAAGGAGAAGAAGAAGAAGACGACGACGACGACGACTTAGAGAAAAACACTAAGACATACATTACATCATTAAAGTTACAAATACCTATTAAGTCTATTGTTGATTGTTGGCATTTTTAAAAAGAGCTCTGTGTGTGTGGAGAGAGAGAGAGAGAGAGAGAGAGAGAGAGAGAGTGTGTCTCTGCATATCTGCACACGCACATACCACGAACATCATCCCTACATCCACTGGTGCTGTAGACTGTGGGCAAAGTCATCCCAGCACTGAACAGGAATCTCACTGGCATGGCCCCTTCTGTGTTCCTACCCCCAATGTATCCACTGTGGATCTGACATGCCACCTTGAGAAACCTGCTGAGTATGATGACATCAAGAAGGTGGTGACGCAGGCATCCAAGGGCCCACTAAAAGGCATTCTGGGCTACACTGAGGACCAGGTTGTCTCTTGCAACTTCAACAGTAACTCCCACTCCTCCACCTTTGATGCTGGGGCTGGCACTGCTCTCAATGACAACTTTGTAAAGCTCATTTCCTGGTATGACAATGAATACAGCTACAGCAACAGGGTGGTGGACCTCATGGTCTATACGGCCTCAAAGAGTAAGAAACCCTGGACCACCTACCTCAGCAATGACACTGGGAACAAGAGAGGGGCCCTCAGATGCTGAGGAGCCCCTGTCCCAACTTGACCCCCAACAGTGAGCAACTCCCTCACAATTTCCATCCTAGACCCCCATAGTAACAGAAGGGGCCTAGGGAACCCTACTCTTGAAAACCATCACCCAAAGAAAGAACTGAAGGAAGGAAGGAAGGAAGGAAGGAAGGAAGGAAGGAAGGAAGGAAGGAAGGATCATTTCTATTTCATTTTTTTTAAAATGGAT